ACATGAACCATGGATGGCCAGGGATGTTATGACCATGGTCAGAAAGATAAAGGAAGCATACATAACGTCTAGGAGGATGGGAACTGATGAAGCCCTTGAAGCATATAAGGAAAGTAGGAAAGAACTTAAACAAGGAATTACAAGGGTTAAAATGGGTCATGAAAAGTCATTAGCAAATAGGAGAAGGAGAATCCTAAGGCTTTTTTTACACATATATAAAAATCAAGACAGTAGCCAGGGAAAGGGTTGGCCCACTCAAAGACAAAAGAGGGAATGTATGTGTGGAGCCAGAAGAGGTAGGTGAATGAATAATGTCCTAAACGAATACTTTGTGTCGATATTCACCAAAGAGAAGGAATTGGTGGAGGATGATCTCAGGGAAGGGAGTGTCCAATTTCTAAGCCAAGTTGCTATTAAAAAGGAAGAGGTATTGTCCATTTTAAGAAGTATCAGGGTAGATAAGTCACCAGGTCCTGATGGGACCTATCCCAGAATATTGAGGGAGGCAAGAGAACAAATTGCTGGACCATTGACAGATATCTTCGTATCCTTTTAGGCCACAGGTGAGGTCCCAGAGGACTGGAGAATAGCCAATGTTGCCCCATTGTTTAAGAAGGGTAGCAGGGATAATCCTGGAAATTACAGACCTGTGAGTCTCATGCCAGTGGTAGGGAAATTATTGGAAAAGATTCTCAGGGATAAGATCTATACACATTTAAAAGCAAATGTACTTATTAGCGGTTGACAGCAGGGTTTTGTTTAGGGGAGGTTGTGCCTCATTAACTTGATTGAATTTTTTGAGGAGGTGATGAAGATGATTGATGAGGGAAAAGTGATTGATGTTGCCTACACAGACTTCAGTAAAGTCTTTGACAGGGTCCCTTATGGCAGATTGGTACAAAAGGTGAAGTTGCATGGTATCGGGGGTGTGCTGGCAAGATGGTTACAGAACTGGCTTAGTCATAGGAGACAGAGGGTAACGGTAGAAGGATGCTTTTAAGACTGGAGGGTTATCACTAATGGTGTTCCACAGGAATCAGTGCTGGAAGCTCTGGTGTTTGTGGTCAACATAAAATGATTTGGAGAAAAATGCAGGTGGTCTGATTAGTAAGTTTGCGGACAATGCAAAGATTGGCAGAGTTGCGGATAGTGATGAGGATTGTCAGAAGATACAGAAGGATATAGATCAGTTGGAGGCATAGACAGAAAGATGGCAGATGGAGTTTAATCCGGACAAATGTGAGTTGGTGCATTTTGGAAGGTCAAGTAGACAGGGAAATTATACAGTGAATGGCAGAACCCTTAAGTGTATGGATATGCAGAGAGATCTGGGTGTATAGGTCCACAGATCACTGAAAGTGGAGCGCAGATAGATAAGATAGTAAAAAAGACTTATGGCATGCTTGCCTTCATTGGAAGGGGTATTGAGTATAAGGACAGGCAAGTTATGCTGCAGCTTTATAGAACTTTAGTTAGGCCGCACTTGGAATATTGCATACAGTTCTGGTCACGACACTACCAGAGGGATGTGGAAACTTTGAATTGGGTACAGAAAAGGTTTACCAGGATGGTTGCCTGGTATGGGGGATTTTAGCGATGAAGAAAAGTTGGATAGATGGGGGTTGTTTTCACTGGAATGCAGGAGGTTGAGGGGTGACCTGATAGAAGTTAATAAGATTGTCAATGGCATGGATAGAGTGGAAAATATGAGGCTTTTTTCCATGGTGGGGGAATCAATTACTAGGGGACACAAGGTTCAAGGTGTGAGGGGGGCAGTTTAAAAAGATGTGCGAGGCATGTTCTTCACACAAAGGATGGTGAGTGCCTGGAACGCACTGCCAGAGGAGGTGGTGGAAGTGGACACAATAGCAGCATTTAAGAGGCGTCTGGATGAATACAGGAATAGGAAGGGAATAGAGGGATACGGATCCTGTAAGTGAAGACTGTTTTAGCATGGAAGGGCAAAATGTGTCAGCGCAGGCTTGGAGGGCCGAAGGGTCTGTTCCTGTGCTGTATTGTTCTTTATTCTTTGTTCTCTACACTGCCACCAATAAAATCTAGATAACTGCACCTCAAAGGGCCACGTGTTCTAGTGTGGAGGTGGATAGACCCCTCAGGTCTAACTAGGAAAGTTCTCTCATAGAAAACAAACCATTGCTTATTGCATTTCTGCAACTATTTACATGTGACAAAGAAATGCTTTATATTCCGACAGAGACTGTTGGGGGGATCTCGCCTTGGTCTGACTCCTTCAAGCTCCTTAGTTACTTGCCTCAATGGTCCTAATGACATTATCACAGTGGGTGTGCTTATAGTGTTCAGTGAGAATTAATATTTCCAGATCCATATACAATAGACACTGGAAGGCAGCAGGGTTCCCACATGCCACTCTCAATCACCTGTACCACTTTCAGAAAAGTCATACCAGACTCGTAACATCAACTCTGTTTTCCTCTGCACAGATGTTGCCATAGTTTGTTGAGTTTTTCCAGCATTCTTTGTATGTGCTGAATTATTTTGTCAGTAATGTTTGTGGGAGTTTGCTGTGCACAAGTTGGTGATCATATTCCCCCACATCACATCAGCAATGATTCTGGAGGACATGTGGGTTACAAAATGGAAAAGGCTCTTTTTACTTCCCCTGCATTCTAGCAAATATGCTTCCAGTAGGAGCTAATACTAACCTGATTCCAATCCTCATTTCTCACCTTTGCTGTCCTGTTTACTAACATCCACTTGCAAATTAGTTTCTGCAACTATCAGTGTATGGCTGAGATTCGAATTTGAAATGGGCAGCCACTGCAACTAAAATATGAACTTTCACGTCGCTATGTCATGATTATGTGCTAGTGACAAATAAGTCTCACGTCAAGGCAACTTTATTCTCAGGGTAGTGGCAGGTGGAAGATGCAGTTCAGTTCAGCCTTAACCCAACTAACTGAAATACATAAAACAACATTTCTTCATCGCATAATTAAATCATCATCTTCACTCTTCTATCCAGTGACAACTGAAATATTAATGAACTTGATGAGGTCTCTCTGAACTTTTGGTTCCTCCATGTTTAACGTTCACATGGTGGGAGAATGATAACCTTTGATTTAGGCCTGGATTTTCACCAAATCACACTGGCTTTTAAAATAGTGGGCAGGACCCAATTCAAGGAGTTTGTGTTTGATTGACAACTCTATTAGATCATCATAAGTTTTTTTTTAAAAAAAGAATGTCAATTTCAAAGACATCCTGAGGTCTGCCATTATTGGTTACTCACTAAAAGTGGAGGCCCAGGTAGACAGGATAGTGAAGACAGCATTTGGTATGCTTGCCTTTATTGATCAGTGCATTGAGTATAGGAGTTGGGAGGTCATGTTGCTGCTGTACAGGACATTGGTTAGACCACTTTTGGAATACTGTATTCAGTTCTGGTCTTCCTGCTATAGCAAAGATGTTGTTAAACTTGAAAGAGTTCAGAAAATATTTACAAAGATGTTGCTGGGATTAGAGGGTTTGAGCTCTAGGGAGTGGCTGAATAGCTTGGGACTATATTCCTTGGAGTGTTGGAGGCTGATCGGTGACTTTATAGAGGTCTATAAAATCATGAGTGGCATGGATAGAGTGAATAGCCAAGGTCTTTTCCCCAGGGTAACAGAGTCCAAAACTAGAGGGCAAAGGTTTAAGGTGAGAAGGGAAAGAGCTGAAAGGCAACAAAGGGGCAATTTTTTCACACAGAGGGTGGTGCGTGTATGGAAAGAGCTGCCAGAGGAAGTGGTGTTGGCTAATGCAATTACAATATTTAAAAGGCATCTGGATGGTATATGAATAGGAAATGTTTAGAAGGATATGGGCCAAATGCTGGCAAATGGAACTGAATTTATGCTATCTGGTCAGCCTGGATGAGTTGGACTGAAGGGAGTATTTCATGCTGTACAATTCTATGATTCTATGAATGGTTATCCATAGATTTCATGGAGATTATAAAAAGGATTTGGGCAGTATGGTTTAGGGTTAGGGTTAGGGTTGTGGGGAAATATGAGGGGAGATGGAGGGACACAGAGATATGAGGAGGCACGGAGATGGCGTGGAGGTTATGAAGACATTTGATGGAGGGGGTAACTGGTTGCACAGGATGACAGATGGGGATTTGAAGGCTCGACAGTTATGTGTAAAGCTGGGTTAACGATTTCATTTAGTCCCCACCTCCTTGGCACAGAGCATTGGTGGGCACAAACCGTTTCACAGGAGGTGGATCTGATAAGCCGGTTTCCAGACTTAATCTTTCCACATCTCCCTCAAAAATCTGGCCTGGGATTCTCAATATTTTGGCACGGGCAGAGTACTGGCAGACTGGAGCCATATTAAATGTATAAGTTTTTATGGGTAGGGAGGAGGGTAGTTTTTGCATCACGGGTTGAGAAAGCTTGACTTGCTCTGCCAGAGTAGTGTGACCATGTCAACTTTTAAGAATGAGCTTGGTTACTGATTTTCAGGAAAAGGAGGTAGAATGGAAAATGGGGACACAAGAGGAAAATAAACACCAACATTGACCAGTGGAGTCAAACAAACTAGCTCCACGTTGCACTTTCCAAATAGATTACCCTCTTGACCCATTCTGTCCAAGCCAATATTTCTTTATTTTTCTTCATTTATTCTTATCAATCTACTTTTCAGATAGTTAACAGTTTCCAAACTGAAGGTGACTGGGGATTAGCCCGTCTCTCTTTCTATAATAGATTGTGACTGAACAAGCAGACCTTCCAAGAGGTGAGGTGGAATATTAAAGGCTATAGGACAGTGAGGAGAGCGTGATTAGACTAAGTAGGATATTAATGCGTATAAGATATGGGATGAAGAGTGGGGTTCGATAAGGTGGAATGTGAAAGGTATGAGTGGGAAGGTGCATGTGATTGTTCTTGTCAGGAAATAAACAGAGGCAGTCTGTTTCTGTCCTCTAACATTCTCCAATTGTATATGGTGTGTTGTAATTTTAGTGTAACGATTACCTGAAGAAACACAGAATGATCAGTGCCACACTGAGGAACAGGAGAGACAGACTGTGGCCAACTGTGTAGCTTATCTTCACGGCCTGCAGAAATAGTCCCTGGAGAAAACAGATTATAAGAGAGATGAGGAAATCCTATTGATAGCAAACAAACTTGACAGTATAACACAGCAAGAGGGAGAGTCTGGTCTATTCTGGTACCATGGTGACATAGAAAACGTACTATAAAAGTTTTTGATTGTTTGATATTTCTAACAAGAATATGTGTGAGTCCCTCTCCAATTTTCTGTTAATTTCTGTGACAAGAAGACAATTCCATACACCCCTTTCCAATGGCCCCACACAAGGATGGGTATACTGTATTATCCAGTACTAAATCCTCAGACCCAAGAGACTATGCAAATCTTAAGCATTTTACGATTGTTTAAGAATGGATACAAAGGAGGCTGCACGGTATTAAAAAAGGATCATTTCACCAAATTGCTCTATGTGAGTCCACTGCCCTCATCTGTCCTGTGCCAGAAGTCTCCCGGTAAAATTGCCAGCAATTACTTTTCACTGGCATTTGGCACCTGAATAATGTGACTCTCCCATACCCAGAGCGTTAAAACATTCCGTGGCTGTCACAGAGAGGAGCTGCCAGAGTTGTGTGCAACAGTTGTTGATGCAGTGTGTGTCTGCACCACTCTGAGGAACCAGCAACTGTTCAACCCATATTACTGTTGACATTGATCTACAGCCAAACTAACTGCAATGTGGGAGGTCAAGGAAGAAATGTAGAACATTATGCATGATCTAATATATAGTTTAAAAAAAAATACATATCATAAAATTAAAGAAATAAGCAGTAAAAAACCATAAATCATAAGATACCAGGTTATAGTCCAAAAGGTTTATTTGAAATCACAAGCTTTTGGATTCCCTCCCACCCCCCCACCTTTGTCAGAAGCAGTAAGAGAGGCACACAGACACAGAGTTTATAGGCAAAGAGATCAAAGGATCTTACAACTGGTGTGAGTACAGTGAACTAACATAAAATGGCTGATGGAAAACTATGTTAAAAAGGAGACACAAGTTTTGATTGACTAAGATGCAAATTCCAGGATCTGTTTCTAGTCACTGCTCTGAGATAATTTAAGGTTTTATCAATGTTTGCCTAACTTTCCTAACTTCAGTCAGGTAGAGATACAAAAGGCGACATCTCAGGTCAGACAGTGAAGCGTAGGTGTGAGGCCTCGTTCAGAATCTGTCTCTGAGTTGTAACCTGGAATCAGGCTGGTTTTATTCCAAAGTCAGGAATTTATGAAATGCCACACAAATGACTGTGACACAAAATGTGTGTTTTTTTGAACAAAATAGAATGTATCTGCAAATAAACAAACATCTTGGATGAAATGATTCACCCCAAAAATTTATATATGTGTGTGTGTGTTTGCGTATGTGTTGTCTATCTCATACACTGCAGACTATGACAGGGATGCCCCAAGGCATGGCATATTGGCAAGGCCATGCTGACGCTATGAAAATGGATGAATGGACACTGCGGAACAATTGCCAGACAGGAATGTTCCCTGCAAGTTGGGGAACATTTCGGTGGTCAAGGGCCTCTGACCTTCGGGTAAGCGTCCTCCAAGGCAGATTTTGAGATACACAACAATGCAGAATCGAAGAGCAGAGACTGCTAGCCAAGTTCTATACCCATGAAGACGGCCTCAACCATGATCGTGGGTTCATGCCGCACTACAGGTGACATCACCCCACTGTTCTGTATCTGTGAAATCTTCCTTTATGACCTGTCTTGACAGCATGACCTTTCTCTCTCTCTCCCACACACACTCACACACACAGACACAGACACACACACACATACAAATCAACTGAAACTTGCATCTCCTTTCTAACAGAGTTCTCCATCAGCCACTTTATGTTTGTTCACTTCACTCACACCAGTTGTACGATCCTTTGATCTCTCTGCCTATAAACTTTGTGTCTGCGTGCCCTCTCTCATTGCACCTGACGACACAGTAGTGCTCTGAAAGCTTGTGATTTCAAATAAACCTGTTGGACTATACCCTGGTGTTGTGTGATTTCTGACTTCGCCCATCCCAGTGCAACACTGGCACCTCCACATCAAGAATAATAACCAGGGCATATTTTAACTATCCCAAAATTAATTGGCCTGAAAAGGTAGGAATATGAGAATAAGGGAATTGAGTTCCTACATGCCTACAGGATCTTACCTAATCTAGTCTGTAAGAAGCTCAATAAAGGAAGATTTACTACTAGTGGCTGGGTTTTTAGATGCCTTCGAAACTAATCGCTTGAATTCTCTCCCCATATCTTTCCGTCTCTACCTCATGTTCTTTATTTATTTCAGAACCCCCTTCCCCTCCCCCTTTTCTGATGAAGGGTCTAGGCCCGAAACATCAGCCTCTCTGCTCCTATGATGCTGCTTGGCCTGCTGTGTTCATCCAGCCCTGCACCTTGTTGTCTCTTATTTCGTAAAACCTATCTTGTTTACTAAACTTTTGGTTTCTGCCTTAACATTTTGTGCCTTAATTTTTCTGCCTTAACATTTCATCATTTAATTTTGTGTCATACTTTGCTTTATAGTGCCCCGGGGTGTTTTACATTTTTAAAGGTGTTTTATATGTTGTTGGGTCAAATAATGAACAAGTATAAATAACTAGAAGTGGAAGTAGGGGGATATTTTGGCAATATAAGGGGAAGCAATGGCCCAGTGGTATTATCACTGGGCTGTTAATCCAGAGACATAAAAACATTCTGGGGACCTGGGTTCGAATCCTGCTACGGCAGATGGTGGAATTTGAAATCAACAAAATATCTGAAATTAAGAGTCTAATGATGACCGTGAACCCACTGTTGATTGTTGAAAAAACCCATCTGGTTCACTAATGTCCTTAAGGGAAGGAATCTGTCATCCTTACCTGGTCTGGCCTACATGTGACTCCAGACCCACAGCAATGTGGTTGACTCTGAACTGCCCTCTGGGTAATTAGGGATGGACAATAAATGCTGCCTGGCCAGCGAAGCCCTCCCCCCATGAATGAACAAAGAAAACAAATTAGTGACCACACTTCACTGAATAATTGAAAATTGTTTAAGTATATCAATGGATACAAACTTATGAACATGCATGTAGGAACAAGAATAGGCCACTCAGCCCTTTGAGCCGGCTCCACCATTCAATAAGTTCATAGCTTTGATTTTAACCTCAACTCTATATTCCTGTGTATCCCTGATAATCTTTCAGCCCCTTGGTGATAAAGAATTTATCAATCCCTGTCTCAAATATATTTAAAGATTCTGCAAGCATTGTCTTTTGAGGATTGGAATTGCAAAGATTCTCAACCCTCTGATAACTTTTTTTCCCCTTATCTCTGTTTTAAACGGGTGACCCCTTAGTTTTAAACTATGATCCCTAGTTCTAGAAACACTCTTTCCACGTTCATGCGGTCAAGCCCCCTCATGATCTTATATGTCACTTCTGACTCTAGTCTAAACTCTACAGGGTACAGGCCAAACCTGTCCAGACTTTCCTGATAAGTCAATCTGAATCAGAGTAATAGGTTAGAGAAAGGTCAATTCTGTGAGAATTGAACTGTAGAAAATAAAATGGTTAACAATATTGGCGATCAACAGGAAAAATTCCAAATGGTATTGCATAGAATCCAAGAAAAATACATTCTACGAAGAAACAAGAAGAAGTTAATACTAATTAATTAATTAATATCAAAGGGAAAGGTTGATGGTAGAGAAAGTAACACAACTTTAAATGGTCATGAAGAAGCTAAACCAAACACTCAGGTTGAGTTCTATAGGTATAGGGTTGAAAAGTTTAGAAATCTTTATCAAACCTTGGACAGGCCATGCTTTTAATTCTGTACGCAGTCCTGGTGATTAAAGTAGAACAGACAAAGAGGCAGTGGAGAGGCTCAAATGAGATTTAAAATGATAAGTTCAGAAATACAGCAGAAAGGATGGACAGACTGGGCCGCTTCCTCCTTGGAAAGAATTGGCTGATCTAATAGAGGTCTTTAAGGTGACGACAATTTTTGATATTGTAGACACATGGTAATCGCTTCCAGAGTGAGCAGAACTGCAGGCCATAAATATAAAATGGTCTCTAAGAAGACCAATGGAAAATTCAGAAGAAGGTTCTTCACCACGAAATTTGTGTGATGAATGGATGTGTGGCCACAAGGAATAGTTGAGCAAAATAGTACAAATGTATTTAAGTGAAAGCTAAGTGTATGAGAGAGAAGGCAATAGGAGGTCAGCTGATAAGCTTTAGGTGAGGATAGATCAGAGGACGGTTGAATGGAAAATAAATGTTACCATGGGCTGGTTGGTCTGAATGATCTGTTTCTGTGTTGTATAATTTATGTAAATCTATAAGAGGTAAAGTTAACCTGCATTATGTGCACAAAGCAACAGCAAATAGGAAGAGCAGTGCACAGTTATTATATGAGATTGACAAATACTTTTAGAAAAATTCAAAATTTAGGAGTCACTGAATAATAACAGAAGTCAGAGACTATCCAATTCTTTTTCTATTAATTGTAAGTCTTTAGTCCCAACATTAGAGTTCCTGATTAATATGGCAATCTCTCTTCAACAACGAATTCACTACAGCCACAGGAATGAGGTGAGGAATTGTTCAGTGGGGAAGAGTGTTAGGAACCACAAATTCAAAGTCACCAGATCTTTGCTGCCTTACCATAAATCATCTCTTAAACTACTCAAACACCTGTATTCCAAAATGTTATTTGCTGAAATAGTTGTTCCCAGTGTCTGATCACTCACTCACTTATTTCCTCAGGTTACTTTTTGAATGTAACCCTCCCTTCACTCTCGGGCCTCAGTGTCCTTTAGTTCTTCTGTTCTGGATAAGTTGACAGTGGTGGCCAAGGTTGACATGATCGAGTCCCTTCAGAACCTTTCATCAAAGGGTTGGAGAGGAGGATGTAGGCCACTTGCTGCAAATCCATTCCAAGGACAAGGGTTTAGAAATATGTCTTGCTGATAACCTAGTGGTGCCAGGACGCTTGCTTAATGATGGTAGTATCTACAGCAGTGTGCCCACCACTATCCTGATCATTTAGGCTTATCATTCAAACAAGCATCTGCCCAATTCAGCATGATACAGATGTCATAACGTGTTCTGCTATAGCTACATAACAACTTCGCCCTTTTTAAAATTCATTCATGGGATGTGGGCGTCACAGGTTAGGCCTGCACTTATTGCCCATCCCTAATTTGAGAGTTAATTACATTGCTGTGGTTCTGGAAACACATGTAGGCCAGACCAGACAAGGATGGTAGTTTCCTTCCCTAAAGGACTAAGTGAAACAGAGAGTTTTTTCCTGACAATTGACAATGGTTTGCAGGTTGTCATAGAAGACTTTTTTTTAGATTTAATTCAAATTCCACCATCTGTCATGTTGGGATCTGAACCCAGGTCCTCAGATCATTTCAGAGATAGTAGGAACTGCAGATGCTGGAG